GCCCAAGGCTAGGCCCAAGGTTAGGATAGATTCCTGACACCCTAGCTTGGGAAGGTGGGAGGAAGAGGAAGAGCAGGGTTCCCAGAATCCAGCCCTGGCCCAGCTGCTCCTCCCATCACCTGATGGCTGCACTTATACCTATGGGGGCTCTGCTGGTGAATAAGACCGAATGAGGAGGATTGTCAGCATGTGTTTGCTGAGTCTGTAGGCTCCTCAATCTCGGACCACCCCACTCAGTCTCTGCTGGCAGGGGAGCAGGCCAGCTTTGGTTTCTCTGCAGCGGAGGCTGGGAGCATTATCCAGCATGCTTCCTTTTCATCTCAAGGAGAATGTGAGCTCCTCAAAGGCCCACATGGTGTCTGCTTTAAGATCCAGACCAGCTGGGTGCAGTGACTCAGGCCTGTAATCCCAGCACTTTGGGAGGCTGAGGCGGGCAGCTCACTTGAGGCCAGGAGCTCAAGACTAGCCTGGCCAACGTGGCAAAACCCTGTCTCTACTAAAAATATAAAAACTAGCTGGGGTGTGATGGCATGTGCCTGTAATCCCAGCTACTTTGGAGGCTGAGGCACGAGAATCACTTGAACGGAGGTTGCGGTGAGCCAAGATCATGCCACTGTACTCCAGCTTGGGTGACACAGAGAAGACTGTCTAAAAAAAAAAAAAAAAAAAAAAAAAAAAAGGCTGGATGTGGTGGCTCACGCCTGTAATTCCAGCACTTTGGGAGGCCAAGGCGGGCGGATCATGAGGTCAGGAGATTGAGACCATCCTGGCTAACACGGTGAAACCCTGTCTCTACTAAAAATACAAAAAAATTAGCTGGGCGTTGTGGCAGGCACCTGTAGTCACACCTAGTCAGTAGGCTGAGGCAGGAGAATGGCGTGAACCCAGGAGGCGGAGTTTGCAGTGAGCTGAGATCCCACCACTGCACTCCAGCCTGGGCGACAGAGCAAGACTCCGTCTCAAAAAAAAAAAAAAAAAAAAAAAACTCCAGACCAGTGGGACTTGATGATTCAGTTCTTGGCGTAGCATATGCTAGTTTAACCAGTTAGAAGAGCATGTGACATCCAGAAGCAGCCTGGGACGTTTGTTGTCCAGTGCATATCTAGCAGTGGGCTCCGTTGTTCCAAGAGCTTGTCTGCCTCTGTTTCTGCCTCAACGTGTCTTAGAAAAGAAAAATAAAGGGATGAAGGAAGGCAGGAAAGGCTTTTCCTTCCAGCCCTCACTTTACAAATGAGGAAACTGAAGCCTAGAGGTTGAATTGGCTTACCCAAAGACCAATATCCGTGAGACAGGAAAAAGGGAAGAGGAGAATACCCCTGAAATCATACTGAGGAGTTTCTGCCTCCCTTGAAATGACCTCCCAAGAGGAAGCTCAGGCATGGCCATTGCTGACTAAAAGGAGTAGCACAGAGCAGGTGGCTGTGATGGACAGAAAGAGCTCCAGGCCAGCATGTGCTGCCTGGCCTGCCTGAGCCTTAGTTTCTCCTCTCACTGTCCTGCAGGGAGAATCCCGCTGGCCCCTGGTTGTGACTGCATGCTGTACAGCCCTTGCTCATTAACTCAAACACATATTCATGGAGTACCTTCCGAGAAAGTCGGGCAGGGGATACCGCAGTGTACAAGGCATATGTGGCCCTTGCCCTAGTGGGGCTTGCATTTTCCATTAAGAGGGACTCATGCTAAAGGCTAGGCAGGAATTCCCCCAAGCTAGCCCATCTGGAGGCTGAGGCCCAGCATCTGCAGGGAGCTCACAGCAGCTCCAAGTCCTTGACGCAGGCCACAGGCTGCTTCCCTTAGGGCAGGGCCTGCTATTGCTGTGGGAGCTCCATCCCCGCTGCCTTGGCCAGACTCTCCCCTCCACTGGGGGCCCAGCATGTTCCCACAGCAGGTATTGCTGAGAGACTGCTGGATTTTTGTTATTGGGGGAGGTTCCTAAAGAGCAGATCAAAGGGCTGGGCACGGTGGCTCACGCCTATAATCCCAGCACTTTGAGAGGCCCAGGCGGGTGGAACACTTGAGGTCAGAAGTTCAATACCAGCCTAACCAACATGGAGAAACCCAGTCTCTACTAAAAATACAAAATTAACTGGGCATGGTGACTCATGCCTGTAATCCCAGCTACTCAGGAGGCTGAGGCAGGAGAATCTCTTGAACCCAGGAGGCGGAGGTTGTGATGAGCTGAGATTGTGCCACTGCACTCCAGCTTGAGCAACAAGAGCAAAACTCTGTCTCAAAAAACAAACAAATAAACAGCAAAGAAAAAAAAAAAAAAAAGAAGAAGAACATCAAAGAAAGACCAAAGCGCTTCTGGGATTCTTGATTCTTGATCATTCTTGATCAGCCCCCCCAACCCACACACCCCCTCCCCTCCCAACAACCCAAACCACCTGTGGTCTTTCTCCTCCTTCCCCTTTTCCCACACCCGTGCATTCCCTACCCTCTGCCCTGCCTTTTCTCCAAGCAGGGGTGGCTGTCAGCCTGCAGCCAGGGACCCCATGATAACCCTCTTTCGAGGTATCCCACCAGGAGCTTCGTACCTACCCCTCAGGAGTGTCCCCAGGAAATCTCTGCAGCTTCCGAGGCCTCTGCTGCCCCACTGGTCCAGAGACTGGAGCCTGCCTAGGGGACCAGGGTGGCCCCACTCCCCAGGGCGTCTCTCTGTATTTCTTTATCTTCCGGCTGCGGGAGTTCTCTCCAGACCCACCCAACCTGGCCCAGTGAAAAAAGCCCCAGGAAAGCATCCAGAGAACTGGGCTCCGTGGGGGCTCTGTCTGGAATTAGGAGCCTAGCTCGGCTTCAGATCCCTCCTCTGAAAAACGAGGGTTGGACCACGCGACTCCCGACCAGGGCCCAGACACGAACGCGGATGCCCTGCCCCTCCTCCCGCGAGGAGCCCTAGGAGGGTCGGAGGCGGTGTGGGGTAACCCGGAGGGGCGCCAAGGCAGACAGCAAGAGCGGATATTCGCGAAGACGCCGCGGCAGAAAGCAACCCCAGGAGGGCCGGCGGCGTGCAGAGAACAGAGGAGGCGTCCTGGGGAAGAGCGCACTGCAGGCTGGGGGCAAAGAGGCGGTGCGCGTCGGGAGAGCTGCCCGCTGAGAGCCGAGGGTGGAGGGAGAAAGGGACTCTCCTAGGCTCTGGACAGAGCGCATCGCCCCCTCCGCAGCGGACTCCCAGCAAGGAAAAGACTATCCCATCCCCGCGCTGGAGCCGGGCATCCTCATCCAAGAAAGGATGAGGATCCAACTATCTCCCGAATTTGGGTGGTGACTGCAGGGCTAAAAAAAATTGACCCCTGAAGTAGCGCTTTGCTGCTTACAAAGCGCTTACAAAAACATTTCCTTATTCGAATATTTCCAATTCCAACAGTCCTCCGACCTTGGCAAGCTACCAATTTACAGACGAAGAAACTGAGGCTCAGAAAGGTCAGGCAGCCAATCAATAAATAAATGTTAAGTGGTTAATAATGCAGATTATTCTAACTTGCGACAGAAAAATCCCAACTCTCCGAAGAATCCCCAAACGGAAATAAGAACGTTTTGCTTGGTTTGGGGTCTGAATTATTCAGCTAAATTCTGCTTGGGGCACAGGAACATGGCCCGTGTCCAAAACCATATCTGGGTCACTGACCTTTGGATAATCTGCTGAAGGCTGCGGGGCCCCTCCCCCAACGACCGCAGACACAATCTGCGAGCGAACCTCGCTGGAGTCTTCTGAGCCCTGAAACCTGGTCCTTAGGGCTGGGACCCGGGGCTCCACGCATGTGGTGCGTCGAAGGCCGGCTCTTGGGTCTGGGTGCAGAGGGTTGGGGGAGCGTTAAGGGGGTGCAGCGCGGCTCCCTGCTGGGTGGTGGTGGGGAAGCTGGGTTTGTAACCCTGGAGGGACCCAGCCCGTGCAGAGTTCCGCAGGGACTGGAGGGGCTCCTCGCCGGGGCCCGCGCGCAGTTCCTCTCTGGTATCCTCCCACCCTTCTCCAGAAAGAGGCTCGGATGTTCTCAGTTTGTTTTACAGATGAGGAAACCGAGGCTGAACTCTGTCCTCTAACCTGGCAGGCCACCTTCTCCGCTGACTTGGGTAGGGGACACCTCTGGAGTGGAGGCTCATGTTTCACCTGCGCGGGGTTCAAACTCGACCCGGGTGTAAAAAGCAAGGGCCGCGCCCACGCGCTTCCCTCTCCCCTCTTCTTCGCTCTGAGCGAGGATTCTGGACTCATCGAGGATTCATGGGCACCAAGAGCCCTGGCAAGTCCCGCTGCCCCAATGCCTCCGCTCTGCAGCTCGCCCTCTGATTCAACTCCGCTAGGCGTCGAATGCTTTTTATTTTATTTTATTATTTTATTTATTGAGACGGAGTTTCGTTCTTGTTGCCCAGGCTGGAGTGCAATGGCGTGATCTCGGCTCACCGCAACCTCCACCTTCCGGGTTCAAGCGATTCTCCTGCCTCAGCCTTCCGAGTAGCTGGAATTACAGGCGAGTGCCACCACACCCGGCTAATTTTGTATTTTTAGTAGAGATGGGCTTTCTCCATGTTGGTCAGGATGGTTGGTCTTGAACTCCCGACCTCAGGTGATCCACCCACCTCGGCCTCCCAAAGTGCTGGGATTACAGACGTGAGCCACTGCGCCCGGCCCAGGTGGCTTTTTAAAAAATCAATTCCTTGGCCGGGCGCGGTGGCTCAAGCCTGTAATCCCAGCACTTTGGGAGGCCGAGACGGGCGGATCACGAGGTCAGGAGATGGAGACCATCCTGACTAACACGATGAAACCCCGTCTCTACTTAAAAAAAAAAAAAAAAAAAGGAAAAAAAATTAGCCGGGCGTGGTGGCACGCGCCTGTAGTCCAGCTACTCGGGAGATGAGGTGAGGCAGGAGAATCGCTTGAGCCCGGGAGGCGGAGGTTGCAGTGAGCCTAAATCGCGCCACTGCATTCCAGTCTGGGCGACAGAGCGAGACTCCGTCTCTAAACAAAGAAACAAACAAATAAACAACAACAACAACAAAATTCCTGCAGTTTCTTTTTTTTAATTGAAAATTCAATGCAAGAATATGGTAAGCAACACATACCGGCTTCGAACAGTCCCGAAAGACATACAATGAAAAGAAAAATCTCCAACCCTCTTCGCGGAGACCTTTCGTGCAGAAAAAAACCTGATGTTTAAACCCCTGCTCCATTTATATTTTTTACACAAACAGGAATCCTCGTGCCCTTTACGTTTTTCACTGAACGCCTAGGCGACTTTCCAAGATATATAACGACCCCATGTTTTCCTCATTCTTTTAAAGAGCTGGATCGATTCCTAAGATAGGATCTCCTTTCATTTGACAGTCCGTGTTTCTCCTTCTTTCGAATCTCCCACTGCATCCTCCGCCCCCGCAGCCGGGGCGGAACCACTCCAGCCTCCCGTCCAAACAGAACCCTACAGGGCCCTGCCTCGATCGGAGGAAAAACGCACAGAAGCACACGCATACTGTTGTTCGAAAAATGTCGGGAAGTTCGTTGGTTTTCCAGTGACTTTGCTGACCCACAGAATCTAGATGCTAGAGCAAAGGAGCCAGGGCTAAGGGCTGGGCCAAGATCGAAAGACTCCCGTTTTGGCTTCCCCGGCACGTGGCCCTGGCAGAGGAAGCACCAGGAACACAGTGGCTGGGGCGGGCAGCCAGTGGCAGTCGCGCGGGCAAGGGTGCAGGTCGTGCTGGGGCCATCTCGCTGGGCCTGCAGTTTGCAGAGATCCCCGGGTCGCCAATTACCGGCATGCTCACACGTGCATTTTCTTGATCCCCAGAGTTGAGAGTCATTCTGCCCATTTTGCAAATGGGAAACTGAGGCTTAGCGAGGTGAAGTGAATCCCTCGAGATCGAGATCACACATAGAGGAACTGGAGCAGGGGAAGACTGGAACTCTGGGTTCCTCTCACTGGGGTTATACTAGTTATGCCATGGGGCCAGGGTTAGTAGGAGAACCTCACCATTCTGAGAGGGGCCAATGGCAGAACTACCGCCGCATCAGTGGGCCTGCGTGAGGGGCTTGTATCCCGGGCACCCTTCCCCCAAGCCCCGTCGCCGGACGAACGGAAAGCGAGGGGAAGACCGATGGTTACTTCTTCGCCCAAGGTCTTCAGCACGAGTGGGATTGTCATGGAGCTGGTGAAGGGAGCCGTGTGGGGTAGGGACTAGGAGGGAGCAAGCCAGAGGGACAAGCTGCGACACCAGAAAAAACGACGGAGCGCAAGGCTCCGAGTCTCCTAGGTGGGGGTAGCAAGGAAGACGGCGGGTCTTTCCTAAACCGGGCCAAGCGTCGAAGAACCCAAAACCCCTCGTCCCGGGGCGCACGACTCCGGGCAGCACGGGACGCCGGCGGCGAGGGGGGAAGGGATCTATCCAACGGGAGGGAATGCGGCAGCTGCCAGAAGGGCGTCGGATCTGCAGAAGAAGGGTAGGATACACGCGGGCTTAGGGTGCGCCGGACAGGCCAGCAAAGTGAGGACCCGAGGTCGGCCCGAGCCACCTTGTCCCCCGCCTGAGCCCTGAGCCGTAAGGGATCCAGGGTATCAGGTCCCCGGGGGCCGCCCCCTCACCGTCAGAGTCCAGCTTCAGTTACCTGCCGGGCCTGCTCCTTAAAATATGTATGAGGCCCTTACGGGTGAAGTTTCGCGGCCCCTCCCGGAGTGGGGCTGGGGGACTTGGGGTGCGAGCGGAGCTGCGGGGGGAGGAAGCGACGCGAGCTCCCGGGCCGGGGCCTTCTCGACTTTCAGCAGCGCATTTAAGAAAAGGTGGAAATCGGATCTGTCTCGGCTGCGCCCCAGCCCCGCCCGCTCCGACGGCCGGACCGCGCGGCCCAGCGGCTAGCTTTCTGCTGCGCGGTGTCTGGTTCTCGACAGCAGGTGAATGGGCCGGGGCGGGGCGCGCGGAGCGCGGGGGGCGGGGCGCGCGCTATAAAGGGGAGTAGCAGGCCGCGGGGGCCACTCGCAGTCCGCAAGGCCTGCGCTTCCTGCTTTGCGGTCCTGGGCACACCCGGCCCAGGCTGCCCAGCATCCCATGGGTCTGAGGACCAGGTAGGGCGCGGGTGCAGAGAAGGCCAGGGAGGCTCAGGGCGACCTAGATGGGCAGGGGAATGCTAGTAGGACGGGGAGGGGTTAATGTGGAGCTATCACACCCTTTTGGCCCGTTGGGCGCTGTGACATGCTCATTATCTCCGCTGTCCGGGTTCTCGCTCACCGTGCCCATCCCTGGCTGCATGGGGAGAGGGGCCCCGAGGCCCTGAGACTCGTTCAATTATCCACCTGGGGTGGGAATCTTGCTGCCGGATCCATCTGGCTGCGACATCTACGGCTTCAGCAGGCCCTGCCCGGGGAGTCGGGCATATTGAAGGGTTCGTATCCTTGCCGTCGCCCCTCCCGACTCTGCAGGAGCGGGGGGTGGGGGACCTATAGATTCCCCGGGCACCGCTTCCACTGCCTCACCCCCTTCTTTTGCTCGAGCCCAAGACAAGATGTTAACGGTCTTCGAGTGCAAGGGTTAGATTTGGTGGGAGCATCGGCTAAGCACCACCCCCATTTTATAGGGGCTTCCAGGGTGTCAGATCTGCGGGGGTCGATTGGGAAGAACTAGGAGCTAAAAAGGAGAAGGGCGGATTAACGTTTTATTTTAATCTGGTTTTGAGCTGCCGTTGCCGTCTGGGGCGGCCGGGCGGGGCGGAGCTGGGACTGGCAAGGGCAGCCAAAGCAGCAGGGAGGGAGGGGGCGCTCCGGTGCTCAGGATGCTGGGGAAGAAGGAAGAGGCCACCCGAACGCTGACAGCTTGGAGGACCCTAGCCCTGCCCCTCGGCCCCCTCTGAATGCTCCGGGTGGTGTCCGATCAAAGGACGGTTGAGAAGGATCTAACCCGCGTCCGCGCCACAGCCCCGGCCGGTCCCGCCCCCTCCCTAGGGAGCCACTGTCGCAGTGGGGGGAGGGGGAGATGAGAACGGGTCTGGGGGCGGCTCCCCTGCCCCCCCTCTCGGGACAGACAGCCTTTGTTCCCAGCGGCAGCGGCCCCGGTGGCCAGACACCTGTGAGGCCGCAGAACTGGCCGAGGGTGGGCGTGTGAGGACTTGGAGGCCCCTTGTCCCCATTCCAGCCCTGCGCCCCTGGGTCTGGGTGCGCCCCCTGAGACAGGTCAGCCTTGAGCACCTTTCTGCGGGGAGACTGCGGAGATCCGTCTAGTGGCCCCACGGTGCGTCCCAGCTCCCAACGCACCTCCCCTCCCCCCTCCCAGGGTCGGATTTCCAAGCACGCCACGCCACACACACCTCGGCTAGCTCCGGGCTCAGAGGGCGCTGGGGTGGCAGAGCGTCCGGGCGCCCCTCGGCTAGCGGCATCCTAGCCCGAGGGCAGGAGGTGGGTATAGAAGGCGGGTGGCGGGACCCCTTGGGGCCAGACCGGGCCGGGTTGGGCAAGCAGGCGGGGCTCCAGGCCTCTCCGCAGTCCCGGACGGGCGTGCCCTGAGCCGCGCACCAACCGGAGCCACATTCAAGGTGAATCATCCCTGGCCCGCCCCTTTCCCCTCCCCGCCTCGAGGCACCTGAGCCAATGGCGCGGCGCGAGGGGCGGGCGGGGCCCGGTGGGGGCGGTAAAACCCTCCTGGAGTCATTCTCTCCGCACTCCGTCGAGCCCCCGCGCCGCTGTACTGGAGCCGCAGGGCCTCCTTCCAGCCGCGCTGTCCCAGGCGGCCCGCGCCCCCTGTTCTTCCGGCCCTGGGGCCCCGGTGCCCCTCTGGCCCTCCCCCTCCTGCCGCGCGGAGTCGGATCCTCTTCAGGTGGCCCGGCCGGGGCCTTCCCCTGCAGACCTGTCACCCGACACCCAGGAAGCGCGCGGCCGGGTCCCGGCTCCCCTTTGTTCCCCCGCTGGGCTCCGCGCTCGGGCGCCGCCCCCTCTTGCGGGGCAGCGGAGGTTTTGGCCTGGGCCGGGCGCGCTTCAGGTTCTGTCCATGCGGCCCTTTCCGAACCTGGGCCCTTTTTGTCTGACTTCTCTGGTGTGGACTCCCCGCGGAGCTGGGAGGCGGCAGTGCGCCCAACCTGGAGCCGGCGCAGGTGAGTGTCTGGGGCAGTGGCGGGGGGGCCGGGCGGAGCCAGAGCCGGGCTCAGGAGAGGAGGTGGAGGCGGGCGCCCGGGGCCGGCCGCACTAGAACCCGGGTGCAGGGCAAGCGTCCCGGGGCGGCTGGCCTTCGGGGATGACGCGGCAGTGCCGACTGGCTCTTCCGCGCCTTCAGGTGGAGGCGCCCACGGGGCGTCTGGGTCCTGGGTCCCTCAGTGGCGTCTGCCCAGCGCCCAGCGCTGTTCCCGGGCGGGGGCGGGGGCGGGGGCGGCCGCCATCCGAGTGCGGCCGGTGTTTGCGAGGTTCCTACCCGAGCAGACCCGAGCGCCTCCCCGAGAGGAGTTTGGCCGGGGTCGGGCCGGCGTTTCGCCTCCCTGGTGGGCCCAGGCGGAAGCGCCAGGCTGGGAAGGGGCTGCGGGGAGCGTCGGGGCCCCGGAGCTGGCTCCTCCAGCGCCTTGTCAGGGCTGCGTGTCAGGTTCGAGGCTGCTTCCGTGGCCCAGAGCCGCCCCGCCCAGTCTCTGGGGGAAAGCGGCTTTCAGACCTCCCGCGCGCCTCCACTTCACGGCCACTCATCCCGGGAACCCGGGCGCACGCGAATGAGACACCGTCCCCGCCCGTGCCTGCCCCATTCCCGTTAATAGCGCTAGCGGCACCTGGGCTCCCAGCCCTTCCCCAAGATAAGCGGCTGGACGGCGTGCCTCAGGCGCCTCACCGGTCAGCGCATCCTAGGACTGTGGGCAGTGAGGGTGTCACCCGGGGTCAGGGGTCGCCCGATTCCGCGGAGCCCTGCAGGCTGAGCCATTCTTTTGCTCTTCCAGCCGCGGCTCCCCGACACCGTGTATACCCGCCGGGGGCAGGGGCACTGAGGCCGGCTCAGAGCGATTAGGGCCGAGGGCGGGCGGTGCCCTAATCGACCTCCCCACCCCCACAGGCGAGGTGCGGCGGCACCTCCCAGGTTTGCGCCCGTCTTCGCAAAGCCTCTGAGGGCGAAAATCCTGCGAGCCAGGTGGCGGATTCTCGGTCCGGGTCACTCAGCTCTACCGGTGCGCATCACCCTCCGCCTGTCACCCAGTGAGCCCGACCGATGGGCAGCGAGTCGGCGGATCTCTGATCCGAGGCCGAGCCTTCGGAGAAATCTGTCCTGGTGGCCTCGTCGTGGCCTGAGCCAACGCAAAGGAACCTGCCCCAAGCCCAGCTCTCAGCCTCGACCCCCACATTCCCTGCGTGGCTCTCGGTTCGGACCTGGGCTGGGACCGGCGCGGCAACCTCCACCACTGCTCGTTTCTTTACCGCTCACGGTCGCCCCTTCATGCTCCTGCGGGGGAGTTAGCGGGACCTCTGGAGTTGGCCTTACGCAAAGAAGAGAAAATTCCAGGATGACGGCCTCACTTGTGAGGATTTCGTTTATTCGTTTTCTCCTACGGAGGCCCAGTGGCTCTTGGAGTGAGCTCCGCACCCGACACCTGAGTGTTTAATGGGTCTGTAGAGGCCTGGGCTTCGGGGAAAGCAGCTCTGGGCCCCTCTCCCGGCACCCATGGGGACACAGGGCGACAGGCGCAGCGTCCAGGTCATGCCCGTTCAAGGGCCCCAGCAGCCCCTAGCCCCTGGGACCTCAGGGGCATTTGATAGAGACTGGAGGGATCAGGACCAGGCCGGTTGTGGGTGGCGCGGCTGGGACTCTGGACTCCAGATTCGTTGTGTAGAGGTCGAGAGGAGAGCCGGGGGTCGAGGGGTGGGCTATGAGATGTCGAAGGACCCCGGAGTACCCACAGCCCAGAGTCCTGCAACACTCACCTCTAAAAATGGAAGGGATTGGGGGCCTGCCCTTTGCATTGGGCACCAGTGCCCAGGGAGGGACACCCCTAGGGGAAAGAGTTTTAAGAAGGCCCAGGTAGAGTTCAGGGGAGTGAGGCTGAGAGTAACCGAAGGTGGGAGGGGGAGCTTAGCAGAGACCTCCTAGGATTTGTAGGACCCCCACACCCTGTGAGTCCCTGGCTGCCCAGCCTGGCCTGCAGGTTGCCTCTCTTTTGGTCCTCTTCCATTGCCAGGCACTGACGCCCAGCGGGTGTGGGAGACCCTGTCTTCATCTTCCCACTCCAGAAGCGGATTTCTGTGCCTTTGATCTCAAGGTCAGGGCTGTGTCCTGCAGGGAGAGCAGAAGAGGCAGCTATCCCGACTTGCCCCAGTCCATAGGCCTGTTTTCCCTTTTGAGATTCCAAGTGGGGATTCTGCTACTGATGTCGGAGAGCTCCTTTCACCCCCTTTTCATGAGATCTGGGAGACCTTGCTTCCCTAGGGCCCAAGCCCCAGCCTGCCTCCACCAGGATAGAGAGGCCCCAGCGGGCGTGGCATCCCCCAGGCACTGCGGCACTTGGGCTTCCTGTCGCATTTGGGTTAGGAGGGGCGAGGCAGGCGCAGGGGAGGAGCCTGACCCAGCAGACTAGAACTGGAAGCTGGAAGGGGATTTGGCTTTGTGAGCTGTTCCCTGTATTCCATCGCATGTCAGTTACAAAGAGGAGGAAAACGGACCAAAGAGTTCCACAGAGATGCCACAATTAGAAGGAGCCTAGTGTTTTGCTGCTTCCTTACAGGGCTCTCTCCTCTACCTAGGGTTCCTTTTATTCCTTTCTGGGCTGGGGAGAGCAGAATCCCTGGCTCCATCCTCTCCAGCTCCGAGGCCTCTGTGGCTCCTTGGTTGCAAGGTGCTGCGTGTTCCCCTTCACTAACACCTGCCTCTCTCCATCCCTGGCTGCCCCCAAAAGAAGAATGAAGAATTCTTTTTTTTTTTTTTTTTTGAGACAGAATCTCGCTCTGTTGTTGCCCAGGCTGGAGTGCAATGGCGCAACCTGGGCTCACTGCAACCTCCGCCTCCGGGTTCAAGCGATTCTCCTGCCTCAGCTTCCGGCGCTTGCCACCACACCTGGCTAATTTTTGTATTTTTAGTAGAGATGGGGTTTCATCATGCTAGCCAGGCTGGTCTCAAACTTCCAACCTCAGGCGATCAACCCATCTCCCAAAGTGCCCTGGGATTACAGGTGTGAGCCAGAAGAAAGAAGAATTCTGCATTCTGTTTAATTATCCTGGGGTGAGACTTCTTGGGAAAGATTTCTCAAAGTAGACCCTTCCTACCCCCACCCCGTGCTGAGCTGTGAGGATGCTATTAAAATGCAGATTTCCAGGTAGGCTCAAGAATCTACATTTCAACAGGCTTCCTTGGGTGATGCTTATGGCTACACCCTAAGCAATGTTGATAACTACCCACCCCATACCCTTTGGTAACCCCCTGCCATCACCCCTTCCCCTCCCCACCCCAAGGCTGGGAAGTCTGGTCTGTCTTCCCTATAGAGTTCAGAAAACTGTAGTAGGGGAGACTGAGGCAGAAGGCTGAGGAGTGACTTCCCGAGATCACCACCTCATCAAGCTGTATTGTCCTCTGGGGAGATGGACCGGCTAGAAGAGCAGAACCCTGTAGTGGGGGTGTGTGGAAACAGGACAAAGAGTCCTTGGGAACAGGAAGGGTGGGGCATTAAGCAGTGTCTAGAGGAGAGCGGATGGCTTTGGCCAAGGTACCCAGATAGAGCTCTGAGTTCTGCGGGAGGTGGTTCCTGAGGGTAGCAACGCCAAGAGGGCTGCATAGTTTCTGAGCCAGGGCACTTGGCTCTGACCCTTCCAGGATGTTTTCTAGCCACCCTGCCTTCTGGGCAACAGCTGACCTGGAGTAGGCTGAGATTCTAGTGACCACTCTGTGGAGGCCCTAGCCTGCCTCCCGTGGGTGCTAGCTCCCCAGAGACCCTCCCTCCCACCCCCTCCCTTCTTCTCATCCTTCCCCAGGGCCTGTGGCACCAGAGGCAGGGCCTCCACAGCGACTTCTCTCTAGGCAGCTGCTCTGGCAACCACTGATGCAACCTTCCCAGCCCCTCCCTTGCTCCTGAGCCTCCACTTTCCTCCGCAGTCACTCCAGAGCCAGCCAGGAGTGCATCGGTGCCTCCGGCTCCCCCTGAGCCACCTCTGTGGCTGCAGGACTTCCCTTCTGCTCTCCTTTCCTGGCCTTTTCCTACCTTAATCCTAGGCCAGCAGCAGAGATGCGCAGCCTGGGCGGTTCACGATCTGGCCCAGTCTGGTCTGGTTTGAGATGGGAGTTGGGGTGAGAAGCAGATTTGGTTTGTTCCCCAGGGCTCTGTTTCTGCCACAGGGCAGGCTGAGGGGTGGGGGATAATGGAGACCAAAGCGCCTAGGAGCCTGGGCTGCTGGTGTCTGGGCTCAGAGGCTACGAGAGGCATCTTGGATGTCCTGCTGGTCACTGCCCCCGGGCAGGTTGGGTAGAGAGGAGGCTCTGGCCAGCTGCCTGCCTCTCTGAGCCAGAGTTACTCTGGCAAGGAGATGGATGGTCCTGACCCACTCCCTCCC